AGAATATTGAAGAACAGAGATATCAGATTTTTTCGTGTATAAAGAAAATTCTAATAACTTCAGAACCATCGACATGGAGTAACCATTAGGAACTGGTTTCACAGGTGAACAATTGCTTTTTATTTTCAGTCTTACAATTAATTTGATTTGAGCCATAGTTTTTGAGCCATAATTTGATTTTAGCCGTTAAAATTAGAAATTTCAATTTGATTTAGCTCGTCAAAATTAGAATTTTCGTTTTTTTTTTTATTAGATTTTTTTTTAAAAAGCCGAAATTGCCCGAAATTTTTTGTTGTTATTGTTTTTTTTTTCTCGCTGCGCTACGATGAGATCTTAAAGCTAAACGCATAAATTTAACATTTTCCTCTATCTCACATAATTTTGTAAGTAAAATGTAATAAATGTGCTTAAAAACATGCAAAAAATGCATTTTCCAATGGTTGTTCAATATTGCGGGGTTCCAAAATTAATAAGCATTTATTAATATGCAGGAAAAATCTGGTGATATTATTTTCAACAGGTTGTAGTTCGAAAACGAATATAACTGTATACAATTTTTTGCATTCCTGAAATTTTTTGCCACCTTATGCGCAACACCCTGTATAAACGAATAATTATATGTACACATATTAAGTATATTAATATATGATTGCTGTTGGTTGGTTTTGATTTACGAATTTTTGCATGAGTGAAAATTTTCATATTAATTTTGTATGTATGTATGTATGTATTTACGAACTTAACCATGTTAATTACAATTTTAAAATTTTATATTATTAACTTATTTATTATATTATTACATACGCATAAAATATAAATTAAGAAAATAAAATAAAAATAAAAATAATTTCATTTTTTAATCATTAATTTTTTAATTTGAATTTAATTAAATTAAATTTAATAATAATAAAACAAAAAACAAAATATAACAGAAAACTTAATATTAAAATCATTTAATGGAAAAATGGAAAAAATTTTCAAGGGAACATTATAAAATTTTTTATAATAATAACGGTATTTAAAAGAAATTTTTATATAACAAAATTAAAACACAAACATAATTGGCACACACGCATACAATTATATTATATTTTTTGGTAATATGGATTTGTGTAAATAAATAAAAATGAAAATGTTATACAAAAATAAACATTAAAAATGTTGGTGGTTTTATTAATTTCTTACTAAATGTAATAATAATGTTATAAAATAAAAAAGAACTACTAAATTGGGAATTAATGAATTTTTTTCCAATTATAATTCTCTTTTAAAACATTATTTTATTACAACATAATATTATTATATAACATATATATTGAAGGTAAGTTCATTATTATAATAATTGTAAGTGTGTGTATTGAACAGCATATTATCTTATTGCTTTAATAAATTTTGAGTACATTTACGTAAGTAATTCTATATATTTTATATTATGTAATTATGAAGTCATGAATTGTATGCAATATTAACCCTGAAATCATAAGCATTACTATTTTTACTGTTATTTCTGTTAACAAAATTGTTCAATATGCTCATTTTAATTAGTGTATACTAGCTTTTATGTATTTATGTACCTATAGTAAGGTTAATTTGTAAACTTAATGTATATAGTTAGCATTACAAATTTTTGTCTAAAAAAAATAAAATTTTTCAAATAAAAAACTTAAGTCCGAAATAAAATTTGAGTTTTTTTTTTGCAAAATCTTAAAAATATATGAACTTTAAAATTGTGCTGTAGTAACTTGTCGCTGTATTGGTAAACAATATTATTCAAAAATTATAATTCTTTTACTTACAATTTTATATGGTAAATTTTGAATTAAAGGAAAATAATTGATAAAGTCAGTGTTATAAAAGTTTATAAAAATAATTCCTAAAAGTATGCAAATTTATTATAACTATTATTTTTAATACCCCTAAAAGTAGGCAATTTTGCAAAATTTAACAAAAATTTAAATTAAATTTTATTAGTTGAAATGTAAATAGTATAAAAATATTTTTAATGTGAAAAAATGAATTTAAAATAAATGCTATAATTAATTTGAGATGCCTACCTTACATAGTTTTATATAATATTAATGTGCGTTCGTGTAAAATTTGTTTAGACTTCATTACCGAGACAGTTTTGCAAAGAAAAAATTTCGGGAAATTTTCTTATATCCTCAGAACTTTGTATATACTGCGATTAATCATATACCGTTAAGATTATTTCGGGTTTATCAATTCATATTTTCGGAATACTCAGTGGATAATTGGTAAGATTTATGTTCGTGTATATAGTTTAGAAAAGACCAGTTATCCAAAAGTTATAATTGAAAGATCAGTGATTCAAAAGCTAATTGAAGTTTAATGGAATACTAATTGATAATACTTCTAGGCGGCATTCTCGGACATTTCTTGAATAATATAATTCATGTGAAATTTTTAAAATATCTGGTTTTCTTTTTACAATTATTTTAATTTTAATGAATTAAGTCTAATAGATTTTGAATATGGAATGGGTATGAACTTAAAAATCTTGTATAACAATTTCATTTGCAAACGAACAATTTCCGCTTATAAGAGCGACTAAAATTATTGAATATCTTGTATTAAATTTCAATTATTTAGATACTTTTTTCCTATGTCCTTAATTAAAAAATATTAACAATGATATCTACTTAGTTTTCGATAGCATTTTTTTTTTCTCCGTCTTCAAATCGATATTTGAGTAATTAATTTTTTTATTAATTTATAAAGTAAAAAAAATCGTTGCTTTTTTACCATTATTTTTTCTTTGCTTCCTGATAATTTTCATCTTTTTTTTTAATTTTTGAAAAATAATTAAAGACGGTAACTTTTTAACCTACACGCTATATCCAAATATGTCAAATGTGCTTTTGCTTCTTCTAAAATAAGTCAAAGAGAAAAAAAAAATTGTTAATTTATTTTATTTTTTCTTTCTTTTTCTCTTTTTTTTTTATCACATATTTTATATATTGAAAATTACCTATCCCGCTTTCAATATATTATAAAAGGAATCCAAAAATTAGAAAACAAAAATAAAAAAAAAAACGAAAATGTTAGATTTCGATTCTTGGGTACACAAAACAAGGTACAAAAAAAAAAAATAAAACATTCAAGCATTATGCAAGAGTAAAGAAGAAAAAAGAGAGCAAGAAGAAGAAGAAGAAAATCGCATAAATTACTAATTTTTATATATTCTCTTTCTTTCTCTTTCTATACTGTTATAACACATAAACCATTATGCTGTCGTTATAAAAATATTTTTGGTTATTTTTCTCTTTTTTGTTTTTTTTTTTTTTGTTTTTTTGTGTTATTTGGCCTACCGCATCAAATTGAAGATAATAAAGCCATTTATGACCAAAAGTGTAGAACCTTTTATGGTTCGGGAACATTTAATGGAGTTTTATCTCATGTTCAATCGTTATTTATTAACTTAAAAAAAAAGAAAAATAAAAAAAATAAAAAAATGAAAGACCAAAAATATAAAATAACCAGCAAAGAACTTAAATTTTAACCTTAAGGTTCATTGAATTATTTGAACTATTTTATTATATTATTACTTACATATATACATATACAAATAACTACTATATTATTTGTAACGATGGTAATAATAATATTAAAATGAAAGAAAAAAAGAAGAAGAAAAAAAAACGCAATTCGAACGCTTTCGATTATGAATTACGAAAAATAAAAAAAAAGAGAAAAGAAAAAATTTTTGTGAGTTAAAGAGGGAATATTGTAAGGTGGCATAATATGCTCTTTTGAATTAAGTTGCTTCCATTTAATTTACAGAGTGAAAAGTTTCTTACTAAAGCAATTTGAATGTCATTTATATAAAATCAGTAATAAATCATTTATAGATATAGTTGTATGGTAATTATTTGCTTGATAATTGTCAGTGTTTTTTGGATTTTTAAAAATAAGAATAGAGTCAGAGAATCAACACTTACTTAAATTGTTATTACCTAAAACCATTTACATCTAGAAATTAACGAGAAGTCTTTTAAATGTGATTAAAAGTTAAATTGAGCGATAATATCGCTCAATATTGCTCAATATCGCTCAATTTATGTGTATTCGTATTTGTGGCCAGATTATTGTAAAGCGATATTCGGTGCTATTTTCGTTATATAGTATGTCAAATTTTACTAATACACAAAATGTAAATATATACACAGCTCAACAAATACATACATAAAATTACAAAAAAACGTTTGCTCTTTGTAAATTTTTCGAATTTAATACATTAAATTTTTTATTTATTGTTCCAGAAACTCATGGCGCTCATTAATTAGTAAAAAAATTTTATGCAATTTCATTTCATCAGCCACGAGGTTAGTATTATAAAACGACAACTTTTATAAAAAAAACCTTACAGTACCAACATTACATTTTTTTTGTTTCAATTCCATTACCGTTATGCAGCTATTATATGATTCTACTGCTATAAAAAAATCAATTTGCTAAAGTTTTCTTGAGTTTAGGTCATTTAAGTTTTCATGGAATTTAAAATTTTTTTAGTAAAAAGCACTCTTATCATTTTTTATTAAAATTTTATTGCTCATTTTAAGAACAATTTTTAAATACTCGTAATTAAGTGTGTATTTGGAACAAATTTTTGGATTCACTCTGTAACAAGAATCGCGAAAAGGCTTATATTGTAATCAAAGGAATACTCCTTCTTCCTTATCATTTCTATTTTTTTTTTGTATTTCTCTTATATTACGGTAGTCGTATATAGTTATTTATAAAATTTTTTTTTTCTTATACATTCCTGTTCAATGGTTTTAATGCTGAAGGCATGCTCATTATTGGAAAAATAATTGCAATACGTTGTTATTTTTATTAAGTTAACTGTTATTCCGCGTTTTTTTAAGGTTCTCTCATTTTTCCTCTTCAATTTCATACTACATACTGATATATACCTTAAAAATATATTTATATATATATAATATATAAGTTTTTTCAACACTTTTAATTGATAAATTTACCGTGATTTAATGTTTAATTTCGTTACGAAATTTACAGCTGAAAAGAGAGAGAAAAAAAAAGGTTTTTTTTTAGTAAAAGGTAAAATTAAAAAAATTTTTTTTTTTTACTTTTAATAGCAAAATATTTTGGCAATAAAGTATTTTATAATAGGATGTTTTTTTTTTTTTGTACATAATTTATAGTGGGGACGCCGTTCGTGTCTATATGAATGTGCGTCTATTCACGTATACTTGTATATGTGTATTGTGCAGAATATACAATGTATGAATGAATTGATAATATAGATTTTTTTTTTTTTGTTTTTCTTTAATTAAGGTTGCCATTCTATGAATTCAAAATAAAATTGAAAATAATTAACTTTTAAAAAAGATAAAAACAAAAAGTGTGGAAACATTAATTTAATTAAAGTACCTAATTGGCAGTTTTATTAGGATTAACATAAGAGAGAGAGAAAAAAAAACGATTATGTTAAAGTTTATTTGTTTTCGTATCCAAACTTCTGCAACGAGAAAGAAAGAGGCACTTTACATGAATGAATTTTTTGTACATTTAATATTCGCGGAATGAAATTTTTTGTTAATCACATAAAAATATTATGCCCACACCAACAATTTTTAAATCATTGTGAAAAATATAGTAGTTTTGCAAAAATTAACCCTTTATTTTCCGGTGTATTAATATTTGTACAGTTTTTTAAGGTGGAATCGAGCAGAATTGATTTTATGAAAGCGAATTAGTGATTTTGAACGGAATTCAAGAGTATATAACAAAACGACTACACTATTATCGTATACGTATATCGTAAGTATACAAGATTGTGAAGAATATCGAAAAGCTCAATTTATTAATCAGCTCATTAATTTTTTTTTAATAAGATTTTAAGCATTATTCTTGCCATTATTACAATATTTCCTTGCCTAATTTAAGCAAATTCTTTTTTAAATTTTAATTTTTCCTTTAAAATTTTCATTAAAACTTCTACTTATTGTAGCATAAATTAAAAATTCAGTACCAAAGGACCAATTATTTTAATTTTATTATTTGTTTTATTTTTTTTTGTTCTCAAAATACGAGTAATTTTAATTATTTTTATTGCCCAATTTATTCGGGATTCTTTTCAACAATATAATATGCTCAATTAAATGAATATAATTTAAAACTAAATTGTTTTTTTTTTTTATTATTTTACGATATACCATTAAATTCTGTATGAATTGTGTGAATTAATTTTAAAGTTTTATGAAAAATAATTATTTTATTACTTGAATTCTCTAATAATATGCATTTTGCATTTCTCTAAAAAAAAATTATTTAAAATTCACACCAAAAAAGGAAATATTTTTAGCTCTAATTATTACATAAAACTAGGAAATTTTCCTTAAAAAAGAGAGAAAAAATAGGGAGGTAATTTTCTGGATTAGCTTAACATAATTGTATAATTAAGAATTATTATTAAAAAATATGCTCTTCGGGTATATGTAAGAAAAAATTATTGTTATAGAATTATTTCAGTGTCTCTCTATTATCCGTAGAGAATAATATGAAAGTATATAGAGAAAAAGTTGGTAAATATCCAAATTTTCCTAAAAAAAAATTAACATAATTTTCGAATAATTTTAATTCGTACACATTTAGTGTAAAAATAATATGTGAACCTTGTAATTATGATATGCAAATTATATATATATATATTTTTTTTTAAGAATAAAGGAAATTCCTACAGAGGTATGAATAAAATAAAATTTGCAAAAATATTTTAAAAATTAACAAAAATTTCGGTGTAAGTATATTTTAACACTTCTAAAATAAATTAATTAATATTTATAAATTATTTCGAAATGAATTAAAAAGTGTTATATACTTGGTTGAATTAAAAAGTGTTATACACTGAAAAATTCCTTACTCAAAAATTTCATATATAATTGATTTCTCGAAATCAATTTTAAGTCGATTTTTTTTTTTGGAATGACGTGTCGCGATGTTACGATCTTAGAAAAAAGAAAAAAATTATTTTGCAAAAAAAAAAATCTTTGATCAAAAGATTTAGGTCTCGTAGGAGACATATTTTCAACACAATATCTCGTAAAATTACATATGGTGACTCTCAATGGTATAAAAGTGCTTAAAACGGTTTGAAAAACATGATATGAGCTTTTAACAGGCGGGTTTTTTAATCGAATTAGTTGCTAAATAACTTTCTAAAATTTTTTAGTGATCGTTTCAGCGTTTTTTTTTTTTTAGTAAAGACTGGTCACTTAAAATTTTTGATTTATTTTTTTATTTTTTAGGGTATACCGCTGGAATAAGTCTACAAAATATTATAATATAATAATATTAAAGATTTTATTTTCCCAGCTGGATATAGAAAGTGAGCCATTCGGCGGCTTAAAAATAATAAGATTTAATTTTTTTTTCTTTTTGAGTGTATAGCAATTTTTCGAAATACTTTGTTTTCAAATTTTTCTCTTTCTCTCTCGCCACCTTACTCTCGCCCTCTCTCTGATTCTCCCTCTCTCTATAAATTTTCGTTCCAAATCGTGTTTCGCAATCGTGGTAACTGAAAAAATATGATTTGAAATGAAGTATAAAGATGTCAAAGAGAAATTTTGTAAATGAGTAATGAGAGGAAATAAAAATTTGATTGATAACAAATTTTTTGCTCTTTCGTCCTTGAACTATATGCATACATACATAATAGTTATATGCAGTAATAAAATAAAAATCATAATCAAATTAAAGAAAAATATTACGATAATAAAATTCAATTGATATTTCTGATATACATATATTTTAATAAAGTACCTATATATGTATAATAAATAATATAATTAAATTAAAGTGATATAGCTATAATAATTACAATTTTTATTATTTTGTCCTAGCAAAATGAAATTATAATTTTGAATTTTATTTTTTTTTAATTATTGTTTACGATATCATTAAATAAACCGGATATTTAATTGTTCTATATTATATTATTTTTTTGTTTATGAAATATGAGAGGAAATTTTCAATACTTACGATTATTTGTGTTATTATTGTAAATTTTTTTTTTTGATATATACTAGTTTTTCTAATGTATTTTGGCTATTAAACAAAGTATACTGGCAATATTATTTATTTTTTTTTTATTTCTTTCTTATTTACTCGTATACATATACAACAAGGAACTGTTTAATTTAAGGATATATCATTTGAAATTATAATAATTAATAATTTTTTTTTTATTATTATATTATTATGTATATATGTAAATGTAAATTATATAGAGAAATTTGCGTAAATGTTTGTATTATAAAGTTGTATTCTTTGTTTTTTTGATCTGGTTCTTAAGAAATTGTTTAGTTTTTATTTTCATATTGTTTTGCTTTGTTTTGCTCCTTTATTTAATTACATGACGCTATTGTTTATTATATAGAATTATAATAATTACACATTCATAGGCATAATATAATTTATATATATACATATATACAAGTAGATATTAGGTACAATATTTATGTACAATTTTAAATGTCTTAAGGAAATTAAAGGGGACTTTTAACGCTGTTAAAATTAATTATCCTTTATGAGTTGTCGTTTTCTTCTTACTATATATGGTGTTCTATGTAATTTCATTTTGTTATTTTTCATTAACTTAAATGTTCTGTACAAAAAACAAAAAAAAAAGAAGAAAAAAAATGTGTAGAATTAAAACAAACAGAGAAAAATAAATTTGGAGAGAAAAAGTGAGAAAAAAAAATATAGGTTGTGCATAATATTTCGTAATTTAATGGTTTAGTCAAGAAGGGGGGGGGGATGGGATGGGAGGTAACGGAGATATGAGAGGGGATGAAAAATGAGAAATTTTTTTTTATTTTTGTAATTAAATACTTTAATTTATGTTTGTTGGTTTGGGTTGGCTCTTTTTTTTTTTTTTTTTTCGTTTCTCAATTTCTTATATTTTATTTTTTAATTTTGGTGGCGTGATAATCCAAGTTAAACTTTGGCCTCCAAAATAATTATAATGAGTATTAAGAATCTGATAAAATTTTTTGTAACATAAGTGATTTTAAGTTGTTGTCATTTTGGTTGGTTTTGGAAAATATAAAATTTAATTTTTTTTTCGTCCTTTCATTTGCTTGTTTGTTTGTTTTTTTGCGGTTGCAAAAAATTTTCTTTTTTTTTTCCATTTTTTAATTACTTCCTCTTACATACTTAAATATAAAATATTTTTTAAAATAAAAAAAATAAATAGCAAGTAATATGCGATTGGTATTTTTGTTAACAACATTTTCATATATTTATAGCCTGTTTTCTGGGGTTAAATTTATGCCCTTTAAAATATTTTAAATGAGATAAGAAATGAAATTTATTTTAGAATTTTTTCGAATATAAAATATTTTTAATTTTTATATTGGTCCACAAAATATTATAATTTTAACATTTCTTTCTCTTTAGTGAATTAAAAAGTCATTTGGGTTTTTTTTTTATATGACCTTCACTATGAAGTAATTCATATATATACATACATATATTTAAAAATTCTGACCTAGTTCAGAATATAGTTTATATGGAAGAAAAGTAAAATTGTTTTCAATTTAAAATGTAATTTAAAAAAAAAAAAACAAAAAAATTATTTTAACAGCAATAAATGCAAAAAAAAAAAAACAATAATTTTATAGTGGGTAATTTGGAGGGTAAAATTACAAGTTAATTTTTATTTTTTGTGTTTAGGTATTTTTAATTTTTAAATAAATAAGAAAGATTTTTAAAAATTTAAAAAAAAAAATCTATAACGTCGAAATTACCGATTGTGATTTAGTAGTTTTTGTTTTTAAGACCACAAAATAATTGTATAATTTGAGGGTAAAAAAAAAAAATAAATTCTGGGTACGCAAAATCTTTGAAAAGTTTCTAAATATTTAGAAATGTTTTTGGTACAAAATTAGAAGAAATAAATGTGATTATTAATTGTCGTTTGTCCCACCTTTTTCAACAAATTTTTAACCAAAATTTAAAACTCCAACAAACAGCGCTGCAGTCTGCATCGCAGT